AGAGAGAGAGCGAGCGAGCGAGGGAGTTTTCAGCTTGCACAGATCGGGTCCTTCGCAGTTTGCTCCATCATGCGGAAGCGGTGCAGCACGAGAACTCGCCTCGAAAGTCAGTGATGCAAGTGCTTCCGTGCAAATCTCGAGACCGGCCTTTGTGCATCCAACAAGATAGCATTGTCCATGCCTGTCAGAACCCAGCCAGACGGCTTCGGACCGGCGGACCCCCCAAAATTGCTGGTGGCCTTCTGCTTCGGGCACCGGCTCACCATCGCTTGGGCGCTTTGGTGCGACATCCCTCCGGAAGCTCTTCACCTTTACAGAGGCTTGTGCTCAGCCAAAGGCCCGGGTTGGCTCACCTCCGTCGGAGGCTCCAGCCCCATCCAAGACCTGCTGGATCAGATCATCGCGTGTGCCTCGGCAACACGACAACGGCCACTGCAGTTGGCATGCGGCATACGCGGCCACTGCATTTGACAAGTACCGGGCCCACAGAGAGAGAAGCAAGCTCGGCTTCGCTGCTGAGCAGCCCGTGGGTGCGAATCTGCCAAGGACAAAGCTTCAAACAAACATCCAAGCTCGAAAGAGCTGCAGCACTGGGAGCAGTGGAGCCTCTGAAACCATGGCCTGGCCTGCACTTCAGAACTTCAAAGACGTCCAAACGTGTCACAGATCTCTGTTTTTTCGGGAAAAGCGATCAGCCAAGCGAGCCAAGAGCCCGACACTGCTCGTCAAGCTCTGGGTGTAACTCGAAAATGTCTGCAGTCTGCGAATCAGGGCAGCGGGACATCTCATTTCGTCAGAGCAATGACATTGGCTCAGAGTGGACCTCCCCTTCCCTCTTCCCACCAACCGGTCGGAGTACCTCCAGCCTGGCATGGATGCTCACGAAGCATTCTTTCCCGCGCTCTGCCACTTGGCCTATCGGGCTCGTCAAAAGCCCTTCAAGCACCGCCGGCATCTCGCAAGCACCGGAGGATTGTGCTGCAACTCCTGCAATCACCCGGCGTGACCCCCGCGAACAATCAGTCACACACAATGCATGCACACTTTCACACCAACACTCCCTCCCTTGTCTTTCGCCAGGGCTGTGGGCCTCTTCTTCCCCAGGGCATGAGGGG